ACGTCACCCCTGTTGAGGACCACTGAGCTACTAGACACTTACCGTTTAAAACCCAGTGTTGTAGGACTTTATGGAAAGTCTGTGGTTTGAATCTCCTTCCTAATCTCATGTTTATGCCTGACCCTGGTCATTTGTACAAATAAGAAACAGGAGAATCTCATTACCTTTCGAAAGGGAGAGATTTTAAAGGGAGGGCATTGTGACTCAATGTAAGGAAGAGTTAATGGTAAAAATGTGTCTGTCTGTTGAATTTAGTTTTTCTTGGCAGTACAAAAATCTTTGTGTGGGAAATTCACAACCTAAACATATAAAGTGATGAAAGATGTGTCCATGATATTGTGATAGTTATAACTGGCATAGTTTATGGAGAAAGTTGGAACATATAAGGAACTTTGGATTTTTTTAGCTGTTATGATTTAATTTCATTTGCAGCTGCTCTTACACTTTTTTTCCAAAATGTAGACAAACTGGATTTGGAATCAGGAAACCAGGGTTTTAGGTCTAGCCATCCTTGGGGACATGTGAATTCCTTACAACAGAAGAACATATAGAAGAGCCAAGGTTTATTTCTTCTACTTTCTTTTTTTCCCCTACAGGGCTGGTTAAATGTGTTACATGATATGCATACATCTGTATTTTAGTTTAGTGGCCCCAAACTTGAGTAACAGAATAAAAATGTATGTAGAGTGTTTGAGGCAATGTTTAAACGCAGGCTAAAATTCTCAACCAGTATTATTGTGAGCAGATTTACGAAGGATCTTTTGTTTTTATTTCCTTTCTAAATGTGTACTCATTTTTACTATGTTAAGCTTGTATTTATGTTGCAGTTTGAATTTATTTGTTAAGAGTTACAAACATTTCAGCTGATTAACATAACTAAATACTGTGCAGTGTAATGAGAAAAATAATAGATGGATTTTCATGGTTTTCTTTGTATCAAATCGGCTGATGTAATATGTATCTCTGAGGTAGGTGACTGAGATATCTTTATATACTAGTTGAAGAAAATAATTTATTAGTTTCTTTAAGGGGAAATGTTGAGGTTTTTGTTTTGTGTTTAATGAGAAATACTTGGTGGGTTTCAGTTCCTCAGGGCATTTTCAAGTAACAAGAAATTGTTGTTCAGGGTAGGCATTATGGTGCAGTGTTTCAACCCACCCTTGCATTGCCTGCATTCCATATCAGAGGGTGAGTTTGAGTTACAGCTTCTCCACTTTCCATTTAGCTCCCTGCTAATGCACATCTGGGGGACACTGAATGATGACTCTGCCACCTACATGGGAGACCCAGGTGGAGTTCAGGGCTCCAGGCTTTGGGCTAGACCTAGCCCTAGCTATTGTAGGCTTTTGAGGGGTGAACCAACGGATGGAAGATCTCTGTCACTCTGCCTTTCAAGTAGAGGAAAATTTAAAAATCACTTTTTTAAAAAATGGTTGTTCACCATCCTTTCTTGGGGCCTGAGCTGGAGAGGCTTTGTGATGCATTTGCCTCTGCATGCTGCAGTGGGCCTGAGGTGTTCTTCCTAGTGGACAGAAGGAGTCTGGTTGCGCTGCTGCTGAAGGGGGTGGGGAAGGATACAGGGTGTAAGGATGTTTTGTAAAGCTGAACTATCTGGGGATGACTTTGAATTTGTCTGTTGTAGGATGGTGGATTTAAGCACTCTAATGAAATACTTAGTAGTGTCTCTCCTTTCCACTAAATGAGTAGAATGTGGGAAGGAACTCTAGGAGATATGGACCCATTCTGTGCCGTCTGGTTTAGGAAAGCCAGCATGATCACCTGGGCTGTGGGCTGTATGGCCAGATCTGCTGGAGCAGATGACTCTGTACTGAGAGTTTCCTGAGCAGATTACTCTCTACTGTGACTGGTATGGACTTCAAGTGCTTTATCATGTACATCCTGTGACAACCAAAGAGAACCATCTTTCTTTTAAAATGAGGAAAAGGAGGCTCAGAAAAACTAAATTTGTCAGACTCCCCTCTCTGAGGTGTAAAGTCATGCTTTATCCCCACAGATCTCAGAAATCAAATGCCTTGTTATAAATTGTGAAGTCATAAGATTTTTATTCTTAACTAAAACTGGTGTTTAGGAGGGAATAAAAATGGAACCAAGCTGTTCAAGAGGTGAAGCAAAGTAATTGCCGTGTCAGCGTCAGTCTCAGCTGGAGTGTGTTCTCTCCCAGCCTACCAGTTAGTCCCTGTTACGTAGGCGGTGTCACCTCTTTCTGGGATCCCTCAGCCACCTCACTGGGCCTCACCATGGCAGTCATTCCATCTTATATGCTCACTTGGGTTTTGTAATTTCTGCTTCTTTGGCATTTTCTTTCTTCCTTGTGCTAAAATGAGTTGTCTAATTTCATTAAGTTATTTAAATAATTGCTTTGAGATAATTCACATTCAATACAATTCACCATTTTAAAGTGTGTAGTTCAGTTGTCCTGAGTATTTTCAGACTTGTACAAGCAACATCACAATTATTTTAGAAAATTTTTATCACCTAGAAAGAAATCCTGTTCCTGTTAATAGGGCCAACCTCCCCTCTTTTCCGCTACCTCCTAGCTCTGGGTAGCCAGTGATCTTTTTGCCCCTGAATTTCTCTGTTCTAAGTCTTTCATATAAATAGATATAAATCTTCAATAGCATGAGTTGTTCTGTAACTGACTTCTTTCAAATATCATGTTTTCAAGGTTAATGCATGTTGTAGCCTGTCTCAGTGCTTCATTGCTTTTTATGGCTGAATTATTCCATTGCATGGATAGACCATGTTTTGTTTTTCTGTTTTGTTTGTCCATCCATTGACATGTGAGTGTTATCTACTTTTTGGTTCTCAGGGATAATGTTGCTGTGGACATTCGTGTACAGGTATTTGTGTGAACATGTGTTCAGTTCTCGGGTTTATATGTAGATATGGAATTGCTGGTTCATATATAGCTCATTATGTCCTTCTTATCTCTTAGAACATCCAGGATATTTTCTATATCTTAGCTCATAATGTTTAAATTTATAATGTTTAAATTTATAACCGTGTTCTTAAAAATTACAAGACAGGATATGGGCCTCACATTTTTGTGCCTCTGTTGCAAAGTGCTTTGCCTACTAGCACTGACTCTCAGCTTTGCCCTTCTACTTGTATTTTACAGGGTCACAGCTACTCTTTCTACTCCATTTCTTGATCTCTCTTGCTAAACTTTATGCTCTCAAGGACTTTTTAAGTATTGATTAAATGAATTAGTGAAGTTTTTGTTCATGTGCATTCCAGATTGTGGAGGCTCTCTGAGGACAGCTGGGTGTGCTATTCTTCCAGATAATGTTAATAACCTACTGAAAGATATAAAGAATATCAGAGGTTTCATTTTCACTGCCATCACAAAGAACATAAACTCACAAGCTTGAATACTCCTTCATAAATAGTTTCACTTGTCTGGTTGTCCCATGTTAGCCAAATTATTACCATTTGTTTGGGGTTTCCTGTATAGGCAGACCCAGGTTTATATTTATCTCTTATCTGAGGAATTCTATGAAACATAAGCCTGGTAGGTCAAGAGTTCATCATAGCGGTTAAATAATTATAAGAAATACTTACAGTACTTCATTGTGATAGATCAAAGAATAAACAACTTTTAGAGCAAATGTTAAAAGCTATCTATCTGAGGCCAGCACTGTGATGTGGCAGGTAAAGCCACTGCCTGCAGTACCGGCATCCCATATGGTTGCTGGTTCAAGTCCGGGCTGCTCCACTTCTGATACAGCTCTCTGCTGTGGCCTGGGAAAGCAATAGAAGATGGCCCAAGTCCTTGGGCCCCTGCACCCACGTGGAAGACCCAGAAAAAGCTGCTGGCTCCTGACTTTGGATTGGCGCAGCTCCAGCCATTTTGGCCATCTGGGGAGTGAACCAGCGGATGGAAGACCTTACACCCACCCCCGCCCCACGCCTCTCTTTAACTCTTCCTGTCAAATAAATAATTAAATCTTTTTTTAAAAAAAGCTATCAAAATTTAAAGGAACTATATTCAGCTTTGGCATGATGTAGTTGTCTGATGTGTTTCTAATGTGTTGTGCTAGGAAGACAAAAGAGTTGAATAATATTGAGGACATTTTATTTTGCTAACAATAACCTTGTGAACAAAGCTCTTATTTATTAGTAAATCTTTATGCAACTAATGTAAGGATACTTTTTTTAAAATTTATTTTATTTGAAAGAATTACAGAGAAAGAGGGAGAAAGAGATCTTCTATCTGCTGGTTCAATCCCCAAATGGCTACAATGGCCAGGGCTGGGCCAGGCTAAAACCAGGAGCCCATAGTTTCATTCTGGCCTCCCACTTGGGTGCAGATGACCAAGGACGGAGATGCTAATACTGCAGTTGGTAGTTTAACCTGATGTGCACAGTGCCGGACCCAAGGATACCTTTCTTGAGTTGAATTTACTATAAAAAAAATTATCTCAGTTGAAATGGAGTGCAATGAAGATAGTTTTGAGCACTTGCTAAAATTTGCTTAAATACAGATGAGATAAAATACAATGAGATAATTTTGTGGTGTTTAGTTATCCAAATGTAGAGTGTATCATTTTCTTTGGTGTGTTTGGTGTTCTGAGACAAAAAGCTAGATTACTTGATTTTGTGAGTTTATATGTCTTAGATCAATTGTAGGACAATCTATGTTGGATAAAGAAACCTTTTATTATTTTTTTTCCTCAACACAAAGACATCTATGACTTCAAAAGATGTGGGACTTCTCCCAACACCAAGCAATTCTGCATTGAACAATAATTTGGTATTTTCCATTTCAATTCGGACTCTATCTGCCTGGAGACACTGTCAGACCCTACATGTTGGGGACTCAGTCTCCAAGCTTACCCCTACTCCACTTTAGATACCAATCACAAGCCCTAAGTAGCTTTACTTATGCTTCTGACCAATTGGCTATAAATCAGTGTCCCCCAACATCCCCTTCTTGGGTTCTGATTAATTTTCTTGAGTGCACAGAACTCAGAGAAATATTACTTGTATTCATTTGGTTTATTACAAAGGATACAGATAAAGACATGCATAGTGCACAGTATAGGGGAAGCTGTGCAGGACTTCCATTCCACCTCCAGGCAGCACCTTCCAGGAACCTTCATGTATTCATTTATCCAGGAGCTCTGCAGACCCTGTCCTTTTGTGTTTTTACCAACATTTGATTTCACAGACATGATTGCTAGTAGACTAGGTGGGAAACCCCTGCAAAGCCTATCTGATCAGATTCTTTCTTTCCTCTCTGTGCGGCCTTCTACCCTGCAGGCTATGAGGCAGGACATCCCTGGAATGAGGATTATCTTGTGACTTACTGCAGCCAAAAGTAGATCAGAAAATTTCTTTTGTCCAGCTCTAAGACAGAAAGGAGCAGGGAGAGTTTTTGTGACCTGCTATGAGGAAGATAAATTCTGATTTCTATGGCCTGCCTTGGAGAAGGAATTATGAGCCAGAAACTATTGATGAAAATCAAAATATGAATATTATAATTACAGATGCCTCTTGAAAATCAAAAACTGTAATTTTGTGCTCTAAGAGGTAAGCCTAGGGGGTGGATGCCATAGTGAAAAGGTCACAAATACAAGTGTGAAAGCTTTTCTTGATATGAGGTTAAAAAAAATCTATTGCTTGAATGAATGACTGTTCAACATTAATTTGCTCTTCTGTAATTCAAACATTGTCCTCTAGTCATTAAAAGGACAATGCTTTCAGGTCTTCTCTGCCAATGTTACTTCCCTCCTCAGTCCTAGAAAATTTATTAATAAAAATCACTAATTACTAATAGATTAATAATAAAAGTACTGATAGAAATGGCAAACTCACTGAATTTCTCAACATATTTCCATTTTTAAGGAGAGTAAGAAGCCTTTAAAGCTTAGTTTTTGATTTTGATGAGAGGTGTTGATGAGTCAATTTGCAGTCACAGCTGAATTTCATTGAACTGAAGATAGAGTTGCTGAATGTGCACAGGAAGATTTGGGATAGTCTTGAGCTTACGGCTGTTCTAATTTTTATTTCTAAAAATTTGTGTTGCTTTGAGTAAGTTCTAATCCTATATAATTATATAAATGTCACAAACAACTTAATTGTAATTCTGATCACATACTAACATGAAATACTAGATATATTTCTTTGAGCAATACATGCTTAGATTTTTCAATACTGAGGTTTTGTGAAGTCATTAGTATATATCTATACAGTTTCTTGCCATTCTTGACTGTCATAGTAATGAGGGTCAAAATGCTCTTCTGCTCCGTGCTCGTGGCTGTCTTGTGCACCATCACTTTCATCATGCTCATCACTATCGTCATCTTGAAATCGCCTGAAAACTTGGGTTTTCAAGTGTATTGTTTGACCATTAGTGCTTCTTTGCTCACCATAATAAATACTGTGTATGTAAGGGAAGCAGAAGAAGATGTATGAGTTTATTGGTTCTTTGAGCTTATTTTGATCTACACGAAGATATGTTAAATGGTGGTTATGTAGTGGGTCAATGGAAGGACACATCACTGTTACATTGATATCTGAAAAATACAAATTAAAAATTAATCACACAGCTTAATTTCTGTAATTTTATGTTAAATTTTCTTATTGGGATACATTTCATTAAAATACCTCTAAGTGGAATTAGCTTTAATTTTTTATATTAAATAATAAAATGAAAAATTAAGCTCTGAGTTTTATATTACAAAAATAAATTTGATTTCACTAACTTTTCTGAGTGAGTAATAAATTTTCAAAAGAAAAAATTTAAAATCATCAGTGTGCTGACATCACAGACACTGTGATGTAACCCACTGTGCCACAGTGCCAGTCTCAATATTGCAAATTTTTATTCTTCAAATTTGTATCTTTTGTCCTAAATCAGAACTGTAAACAGTTGATTCTATCAACAATTTTTTTATTAATAGTTTATTTTTTAAATATCAGTATGTTACTTAGGATACTCATATTTATTCATATACTCTAAGTTATTATTCTCAATATTCAAGATAGTAAAATCTAATAGACTTCTTGGCACAGCATTATTTGGGAACAATTTCTACCAATTCTTTTGCCAACTTCAAAACCATTTTTAGCAATGTGTAAAGCATGATTGTTCTTTAAAAGATCAAAATACTATTCCGTCTATCTTTAAAATAATAAAAATGTACATACTTTCTATTTCATTATTTTCTAGGTATAAGTGTTCCAAATTTCTTGGAATGTAGAATGATTGCTTCAATTTATTATGTCCAACGTTGAGCTCTACAAGGTTGGAGAGATTAAAAATGTTATATGGGATGTCTTGCAGTTTGTTGTGTGAAATTCTTAGAGCATGAAGTTTTGGAAGTTTCTTAAAGTAATTTTCCGGTATAGAAGAAATTGAGTTATTTTCTAAAGATAGATACATAAGTGAAGAAGGCAAACCAGGAGGCATTGATTCTAATTTGTTATGGCATAGGTTGAGCTGCATTAATTTTTCCATTTTGGCAAGAATTTTTTCTTTTAACACAGAATCGTGAAGATGATTGTAACAGAGATCAAGCATGGTTAAGTTGACTAGCCCATCCATGGCATCTGTCTGCAGCACGGAGATGTTATTGTAACCAAGGAAGAGTCTTTCCAGAGATTTAGGAAGAGGTGATGGAAATTCTTCTAGATTGTTGTGTTCTAAGTGAAGTTGTAGTAGGTTTGGAAACTTGGCAAACACACCATAATCTATTTTTTGAGATTTAATTTTGTTGTGGCTGAGGTTAATTTCTTTAAGATGAGTGGCATTGATAAATGGATTTGCAGTCACAGCTTCAATCTCATTGAACTGAAGGTAGAGTTGCTGAATGTGCGCAGGAATATTTGGGATAGTCTTGAGCTTACGGTTGACACAGTACATTGATGCTGGAAAGTTAGATGGACAGGAGCATTCCCTGGCACAGCCTAAAGTATACTGACGGAAAGGAGCTCCGTATTCTATATTTTGATGAAACGGGAATTCTGGTTGGTACTCCTCACTTGGGTCTTGGTCATAATCTTCATCCCATTGATAAGTTTCGTATTGGCTATATACTCTGACACCAAAAGAGAATAGAAACACATACACTGGACTTAAAAAGCCCATGTTCTTTTTTGTCCTATTGCAAAGAGAAAAATGACATTTATTGTGGGAAAAGGTAATAAAAGTCAGAATAAATCTTGTATAAATTGATAGTTATGAAAAATTATAATATTTGTGTCTGTGTTTAAAAGAATATCCAGGAAAAAATGGGCAGTGCTCAAACCAAAATTAATGTTTAAGTACCATGAAGTAGAATTAATTTTTTAAATTATATACCGTATCAAACCACAATTAAAAGTCTGGTGTTCTAGACCTTTAATAAGTAATTATCTTTTTTTTTTAAGTAACTGTCTTTTAATAGAATCTGTTTCTCTTGCTTACTGGAGAAGCAGATTTACAGTGAGGACATGACTTCACTCAGTGACCACTCAGAGTCCCCCTGGAAATGCTGGGTTTCTTGCCAGCTGCTCAGTTCTTTAGGGCTGGCCACTATCTATGGAAAGAGACACCTACCTTTGAGTTTGAGAGCTTTTGCCTAGGAGATTCTGTTTTAATGTTAAACTAAAATCCTTATTACAGCTTCTCTCTGCTGGTACCTTTTTCTGCCCTTTGGAGGAACATGGTGTGCTTGAGATATTTAGAAATCACTATCATGTTTCCTCTTAGTGTTTTTCTGTCCAAACCTAACTGTGCCTTCAAACTTTCCTCATGAAAGTTTCCAGACCCAATAGTTCTGCTTGAGTAGTTCACATTCCAAATATACACAATATTTATTCTACAACATTTTAGTTTTATAATATTTTAATCTTTTTTTATATTTATTTGACAGGTAGAGTTATAGACAGTGAGAGAAAGAGACAAAGAGAAAGGTCTTCCTTCCATTGGTTCACTCCCCAAATGGCTGCTACAGCCGGTGCTGTGTTGATCCGAAGCCAGGAGCTAGGTGCTTCTTCCTGGTCTCCCATGCGGGTGCAAGGGCCCAAGCACTTGGGCCATCTTCTATTGCCTTCCCGGGCCACAGCAGAGAGCTGGACTGGAAGAGGAGTAACCGGGACTAGAACCCGGTGCCCATATGGGATGCCAGCGCTACAGGTGGAGGATTAACTAAGTGAGCCACAGTGCCAGCCCCAATATTTTAATCTTTATATTTTTATTCCAGCTTCCTTTTTTCCACTAATATTTTTGTCTTAAGTTATAGATAGACAAATATTAAAATCAGACCATCCTGTCTCCCAGGGTGTGAAGTCTAGTGGAGGATCAGAGAGACATGCAGGGAGCAAGAGGATTCTGGGGGAAAGACCATGAAGGGAGGAGACTCTAGAGAGTTCACCCCAGAAGATGTAGAGAAGGCTGGTATACATCCTGGAGGAGACTAGAAACCTCATTCATCAACCATGTTGCTTGATATATCTGCCCTTTGCCTCATCAATCAAATAAAAATTGTGACTGTCGTTAAACTGTACTTTGGGGGTGAGTGTTCTGGCACAGTGGGTTAATCCTCAGCTCAGAGTGCTCATGTCCCATTCTGGAGTGCTGATTCGAGTCCTGCTCAAAGCCTGGCTACACTGCTTCCACCCAACTTCTTGCTAATATATCCTGGGAAACCGTGGATGATAGTTCATGTTCTTGGGCCCCTGCCACCCATGTAGAAGACCCAAAGAGAGTTCCTGGTCCCCGGCTTCAGCCTGACCCAGTCCTGGCTGTTGCAAGGCATTTGAGAAGTGAAAAAAACGGATGGAAAATCTCTCTCTCTGTGTCTCCTTCTCTCAAGTTGGTGAAAAATACATAAACATTGAAAAAAAAAATCAGACTTGGTTATCTCACCTGGTGGTTGTTAGTATTGTATAAGATGTACATGTAAAAGTACTTGCAAGTTGAATTCTGCTCTCCAGATGGAATGAGTGTATTTTTTAGGAAACAGTTTTTAAAAGTCATTCTTCTTTTACTATTCATGATTTAATGAGAGAGTGAATGTCCTAACACATCATCTATGCATAAAATGACTTCTCTCCTGCTCATCTTGAATGTTCTGTTATTTTTTATCATTAATATAATTGAGAAAATAATAATTAAAACATTTTATCTTACAGAATCCCATATGATAAAGATTGGGAGACATCTCGGTTTCTTATTTCTTTTTTGTCAAAAAAAATTCAGAGACTAGAAATATTACATGTATTTAGGTTTGAATTAGTTACTTGGGTAGAGACCCTTGGTTTCTTCTGTCACTGAGCTCTTCTGCTGGTAATCTCATCCTCCATTCTTCTCATGCAACCACATCCAAGAACTACTCATCTCAAGCTATAACCCCTTCACACTCAATTTTGGGCATCCTACATTCTAACCACTATCTCAGTGTAGTAACTCCAGCTGTGATAATTCTTGAATTTCAGTGGTACCTAAAATATATTGATCCCAGTGTCTTTTCACTGACCCCCAGCCTTAACTCCCATCATTGTCACTTTGTTCTTACCACCTTGGACCCCATGGTTCATCCCTGTTGTCACTTTTTTTGCACATGCACTACACAGTCTGGTCCCTGACATCTGGTAAACTACAACTCCAGCTACTCCGTTGTCTGCCTTCTCTCAAACCTGACTCAAGCAGCTGAGAATGACTCAAGAAAAACAGGACCAAACCTAGTGGTCTCACTCTTAGTTCATGATTACAACTGTGCTGTGCAGGTGCATCTCTTTAGTTCATGCTTTCCTTCTCTCCCTGAATGTTGTATATCACCTCTCTCTCACTTCCAAAATCTCGCTCTCCATCATTGCTTTGGATGACGAATCTTGCTTCTTTTACTTTAATAAAGAAATATCAAGTGATCATTCTAATATATTTTCTTGTATGAGGATACTTCAAAAAATTCATGGGAAATGGAATTAATGGATAAGTTTATTTTGGTGCCCAAAATTTTTAAAAATCCATACATATGAGTGATCCTCAAAAATTTCATGGAAAATGCATATTATGAATAAACTATGCATGGATTTCAAAATTTTTTCACCAAAATAAATGTATCTTAATTCCATTTTTCTACTGACTTTTTGAAATAGCCTCATATATTTTGCCACCTCACATATTTGCTACCCAAAATAGGAATGCTGTGATCTTTTTTGTTTTTTAAACAATTTGTGATTTTGGAACTCATGAAGGTTACTCTTTGTTTTCCATTCCATTTGTAAAGGACATGGCACTGACCTTGACTTTTACTTTGGATGAGTGTTAGGATCCTCATAGAACCAGATGGAGAGGCTTCCAGGTAGAGGAGATGAGTGACATCATAAAAACAACAAGGTAACATGCTTAGGAAATAGTGGTTAACTGTTGTAGGAGTAAAGTAGGACTGTGAAAGCCAGAATCTGGAAGGCTTAAATTCTGACCCAAGGGATTTGTACTCTGAAAATAAGTACCTGATTTACTGAATTAACATATTTGAGCTAAGATGGTTACATTGCAATGCTCATGGGTGGACTAGGGGAGTCTTGGGAGGAGTCAAGTTGTTGTTCTTTTCCCAAAGGGCAGTGTTGACAGCAAGCCAGAACCAGCTCCTGTTGAACTGGGAGCTCCTCATGGATCTGCCTGGGGCTCTTGGGCACCAAAGGTGATTCCTGGATACACTATGTGGATGTGCGTATAAAAGCACTTTATAGAGGCCAGCTCTGAGGCATAGCGGGTAAAGCTGCCGCTTTTAGTGCTGGCATCCTGTATGGGTGCCGGTTCTAGTACTGAATGCTTCACTTCCAATCCAGCTGTCTGCTGTGGCCTGGGAAAGCAGTGGAAGATGGCCCTTCCATTCCATTGGTTCACTCCCCAAATGACCACAATGGCCAGAGTTGAGCTGATCCAAAGCCAGGAGCCAGGATCTTCTTCTGGGCCTCCCACTTGGGTGCAGGGGTCCTTGGACTTAGGCCATCTTCTACTGCCTTACCAGGCCGTAGCAGAGAGCTGGATCGGAAGAGGAGCAGCCGGGACTCGAACCGGCGCCCATATAGGATGCAGGCGCTGCAGGCTGGGGCTTTAACCCACTGTGCCATAGTGCTGGCCCCAGGCAGTTTTGTTAAATTACTTCAGTTTACAGTTGTCCTGAGTTATTTTTGGAGGTGAAACACTAGGCTAAGTTAGTGAGGAACACAGAAATGAAAAGGACATGAAGGCACAGTCTGTAAAGAGCAGTTTGGTAGAAAAGAAACACAACAAAGAGAACCAAAACCTAGAGCAGAGGGCAGTTGGTGTTGAGCTAGGCAGTGCTGTGGGGCCTGTGGCTCCATCCTGCTTGGGAAAGCACGGAGGCCTTTTATAGATACCATTTGACCTAGACTTTGAGAAATTAGCAGGAATTGGTATAGAACATCCTCTGAATTTTACTTACACATTCATAATACTTTATTTTAGATGTGGCCGTGTGCCGTTTCATGGGGAGGTACATTCTGATAAATGCATCATGAGGAGGGTTTTTTGTTCTGTAAGCATCATGAAGCACACTTACACAAATCTACATAGTGTAGCCTACCACCCATCCATGCTGTATGGTATGGCTTATTGCTCCTAGAGCCAGGGTGAACAAAGCCACTTGAAATTAGAAACAAGCCCCAGAGAAGTGCTACAAGCAAGGCATGCTGCACATAAGATAAATGAGGCTTCTGCCAGTGGAGCATGGCATCCTGTTTTACAGTCACTTTTGTTTTCATTTTTATTTATTCATTGAGAGGCAGAGAGAGTACAGGTGCCCCCATTGCTGGTTCCCTTCTCAAATGCCCACAATAGCCAGGGCTGAACCAGGTCTCCCACAATGTGGCAGGAGTCAAATTACTTGAGCCATTACCACTGTGTCCAAGAATTTACATTAGCAGGAAGCTAATGTAATGGGGAACAGAACTGAGACTTGAACCCAGACATCGTAATATGAGTTTTGGCTATCCCAAGTGGCATCTTAAACATGAAGCCAAATTGCCCATTCCTAAACATTTTTTTTTAATAAAAAGGAATAAATTCTAAAATAATTAGGGCCAGGCAGTTAGCCTAGTGGTTGAGACAACCATATTGGAATATACAGGGGCAATGCTCAACTCCAGCTCTGGCTCCTTATTCCACCTTACTGCTAATACAGACCCAGGGAGGTAGCACTGATGACTGTCGTGGGAGAGACCCAGATTGTGTTTCTAACCCCACCTTTGGCCTGGCTCCAGCCACTGCTGGCATTATTATGTACTGTGTACAATTGTATGTGCTGTATTTGTTATTACTGGCAGCTTAATAGATTTGTTTACAGCAGCATTAGCACACACATGTGAGTAATGCATTGTCCTAGATGTAATGGGAACTGTTATGTCACTAGGAGATAGAAATTTCCAACCCCTTATAATCTTATGGGGTCCCTGTCATGTATACAGTCTCCTCTGGACTGAACTGTCATTACATGGTTCATGACTATTTTATTGTGCCCCTTATATTATAGCATTTTGAATTTTAAAGGGTTTATCTTTTGTTTCAGTCTCTTGATAGTCCCTGGAGTTGAGTTTCATAAGGCTACTGTGTTACTAAAAGACCGGTGACAGAGGGCGGCAGAATCACAGTTGCACTGGGCCAAGCTACATACACCAGGCTCTGAGGCTGACTGTCAAACAGATGAGCTTGCAAAAGAGTGTTGCCTAAGAAAACCCATCTGAACTCTATCCTTGTATTAAAAACATAAGCAAGCTTCAGTTAATAGCCTTACATTTGAAAACTGGAGTCTGTTGATCAACAGTTATGAAAGATGTTGGGAAAGAAGGAAACCTAGATGATACCTTTGGCCTAGAACCAGGACTTGACAATTGGATCCTCTGAAAGCAAAGGACTTCTTCATGTTTGACTTTATAGTTCCTGGTCACCTATGGAGAAGGCCTTTTCCTGAGGAGCGATTTCTCCTCTGCCCCTGTCCTCCTGCAGTTTTCAGGTCTGAAATTCATCCTGTTTCTATCCACATGCTCATTGATTTCTGTTCCTCTTCCCTTGTGATAATTCTCCCTGTTATGATCTGTGTTTTCATTTTATCTAAAATTTTTATTCCAGCTAACCTGTTCTTAGCCACTTGCATATTTCGTTGCTTCTGCTTTTTGTATTCTACAGTCTATACCTTGATCCCTATAGGATAATTCACAGCAAAAAGGTAGAACTCAATACCAGCCATCCCATTTCCTGATTTCTGGTTTTTAACAGAATCTAGTGCAAAACGTATGTAAGTGCTCAGAGGCTTGTTGAGTGAATGATTAAATTAATAAATCAGAGGTTATGTGTCATGAGGAATACCCATCTCTAATAATGGTGATAATTGCTTGGCTTTTTTTTTTTTTTTTGAACCTTGGTGGTTTCTTTAAACGAACATAGTAACAGAGGTTTTGATAATGTATTCCTCTCTTTCTTATTACATTCTCTGCATAATAAAGATGAAAAAGGAAATTTGAAGCAAAGTAAAATATATATTATTGGTTTTTAAAAATTATCAAAAGTGCTATGTTTATAATATTTTAGTTACTTGAAAAAAAGCTCTTATACTTTCATCAATACAAGTTCTAGTTGAAATTATTTATGCAGGTGAGGTATGATTTAACCAATTCTGGAAGGTTTAAAATAAAAACTTCATAAGAAAGGCTTTTTAAATTACTTTAAAGATATAATTATTTTATTGGTATGCCATAGAAACTAGTATATAAGAAAACAAATTATAGCATGTGATTCAGGATTTTGCCTAAAATATTTTTAAATTTTACTCTGTAAAATTAGTTCACTATAGAAACATGAATGTCTCAATTGTTATTAGCTAGATTACAATTAAATCTTAAGAACTGAAACCAAGTGACCAGCTCCTTTAATAGACTAGATAAAGAATTCATGTCTGTCTTTTAAGAGGAAAATGAAATAAAAAACATTCAGTATCAGAGACTTGGTCTAATATAAAAATTTTGGGAAAATCTTGAGTGAAATTTGTGCAAATACCCATCTTCCCTGCAACTGGAATCTCCAGCACTGCTCACGTAATAGAGAGAAAGAGACCCCAAAGTAAGAGAAATCTATTCCTTTAACTGAGATTCTTTCCTTTCATTTAATGTATTTAAAAAAAAAAACTAAACAAAGACTGTTTATTGGATACATCTTAAATTAGAAAATTAAACTCACTTTACTACTTCTTTCCATGAACACATTCCTTAATCAAAGTTTTGATGTAACTTTTACCACATTTTGTTTCCAAAAGTTGTGCTTTTGTGATAGCTACAGTCTACTTTAAAACTAAACAAATTCAGTATACTTAATTTTAACAATAGGAATACATTCTTTAAAAATTGAAAATTGTTTTTATCATCATACCTGTTGAGTTTGCGTTAGTTTTCAGGGGTTGATGAATTTGCAAATCCTTTAAATGATTCAGAAATTCCTAAATTCTTTAACTGAGTCTCTTAAAAATCCACAGTAACTCTGTATGCAGACAGGGCTGTTCCTTGAGTTACTGTAGCAATTTAAGCAAATACAATCTGCTTGGAAAACACTTGGGTTGAGTTAAAATTATATCTTTCTTTTCATTATACAAAGCTTTGTGGATTTAAATTAACATGTTTGTGTTCTCGGTCAGATTTATGTGGCTGACTTCTTTCTTTTACTCTTAATTTTGGTTTGAGGTGTGGCAAGAATTTCCTCCAATATGAAAGGCAAACAGAGCTAAATGAAACAGCATGTACTGATTACTGTTTTCATTTTCATTTTCATGCCAAAGAATTCCTCAAATTAAGGTCCACTGTAACAAGGAGCCCAGTATCTGCAATTTAAGGTAGAACTCAAAATTGTCTTGTCTCTGGGCTAGCCAGCACGTTATATTCAGATCAGTGCTTCCCTTTGTTCAAACAAGGAATTAAGATCAGAAACATGTAGCCTTTCACATCTACTTTATGTTTAAAATGTAATCAATCGTCAGCTACACAGATTAAGTATATAATTTTTCTATGCAGATACTTACACCTTCTTTTCTATCAGCTATCCCCTTAATGTTCCCAAATTTACCCACCAGGATGACATCTAATAACTTGTGAAACAGAAGTATCGTGACTATGGAAGTCAGTGCTTCATCTTCTGAAACTGCATCTCCGATTTGCCTGTTTTCATTGGCGCACAAAACAATTGTATACTGCTGGATAAAAGGAGGTGGAAAGTTTCTGTTGCTATATTCCTGTTGCATTCAATTTGCAGATTGAGAAAAATGTTCTCATTTCACTGAGCACTCTCGAAGGGTTAACAGTTAACTGCTTAAATGTTAAATTTTCGTATTTCAAACAGAGAGTTAACATGTGTGTCTCTTGGCAGTGGATGTTGAGTTTATTTTGGGGAGAATTCTTTCAAGCTTGTGTAAATAAGGTAAAATGAATCTTGGAGTTCATTTTTGTTTCTTTAAAACGGTGTTTTCCATTAGATTTTTACAAAGAATTCACAAGATTTATTTTGTTAATCTTAAGATTTAAGAAAAGTATACAGTTTTTAAAGTCATGCTTTAGCAGTATTGTAAAAATCTAGTCACTGGTTTGAGACATTGGTATGTAAAACATAGCAGACCACATTTGGACCAAGATTCCATCTTGTTACTGATCTTTCCCATATGTTTCCTATTAGTATCTCTGTTCTTGACCCTCAGGCCTCCACACCAGGCAAAAGAGAGCAAATCTGTGTACTTTTTCCAAAAATTACTTTACATGCCTTCACAGTTCTTTTGAAAGATTAATTTGAAATCAACAGCTTATTATTTTTATAATTCCTCATTTTAATTCTGTGAGTTGAATTTATGATAGGGATTCTATTGTTCATATTTCTAACAAATGTGAGTAAGAATATTTATCAATAGGCAGAGCACATAGCACCAAAACTGTCTAAAAAATTGAAACTGGGTTGGCAATGTGAGGCTATAAATGAAAAGTAGGAACTATATTCTGATGTGGTGGTTTTGATAGCTAACTGTTTTGGTTTTGTGGTTAAAATACAGCATGTGAGGAGACAAGTCAGTTGAATTGGTGAAAAGTCTGTCATATCATTTGATTGAAGTATATAGGGTATCTCAAAGTTGAGTGATGTAAGTGCTGGCTAGAAAAGCCCTCCAAGACTTGTTTAATTAACATAATAAGCAAAATTTTTATTTATTCATTTCATTTGTTCATGTGTTTAACTCATTTATTGAACACCTACTTTGTGCTAGGAGTTTTAGGTACTGGGGGCTCAGCAGTGATAATCCTATCATCACAGAAAGTGAATCACATTTACTAAGTGGTGCAGGAATAATGGAAGAAAAACAGAGCAGGATAGAGGCATAAAAACAAAAGAGTCAAGGAGTACTTAAGACAATACTGTGTCTGTGAACTGTGACACAGCAGTTTAGAACTGTATAGCAGTGGTAAGAGCCAGGTATTTTTCTGGTGGAGTGGGAGGTTTCTGTTAAGGGTAGTGGCAAGAATGATCCATGAGACAATGGTTTAGAGTTGGACATGTTAATATGAACTCCTATTTAACTATATATACAGACAATGGCAATATTCAGGTGTGTTTGTAGATATGTGTATGCACAGGGGTTAGTTTTTTTTTTTTTTAAGATTTATTTTATTTATTTGAAAGAGTTACAGAGAGAGGTAGAGACACAGAGAGAGGTCTTCCATCTGCTGGTTCACTCCCCAGATGACCGCAATAGCCAAAGCTGTGCCGATCCGAAGCCAAGAGCTTCCTCTGGGTCTCCCATGTGGGCGCAGGCGCCCAAGGACTTGGGCCATCTTCTACTGCTTTCCCAGGCCATAGCAGAGAGCTGGATTTGAAGAGGAGCAGCCGGGACTTGAACCAGCACCCATATGGGATGCTGACACTTCAGGCCAGGGCTTTAACCTGCTGCACCACAGTGCTGGCCCCAGGGGGTTAATTTTCACACAGATATCTCCTTGCTCTATAGCTGAAAGGACCTAGAATCAAAAACATCACAACTGTCCTGCACTGTGGCAGAGCGGGTAAAGCTGCCTCTTGCAGTGCTGGCATCCCTTATGGGCGCAGGTTCGAGACCCAGCTGCTCCACTTCCGATCCAGCTCTGCTATGGCCTGGGAAAGCAGAAGAAAATGGCCCAAGTCCTTGGGCCCCTGCACCCTCATGGGAAGACCTGGAGGAAGCTCCTGGCTCCTGGCTTCAGATCTACACAGCTCTAGCTGTTGTGGCCAATCAGGGAGTGAATTAGTGGATGGACGATCTCTCTCTGCCTCTCCTTCTCTCTCTGTATAACTCTGACTTTCAAATAAATAAATAAATAAATCTTTAGAAAAAATGACAATTGCAGTGACACCTAGAAAACAGAACTTGGTTTCCTTTTTTTTTTTTTTTTTTTTTTTTGATAGGCAGAGTGGACAGTGAGAGAGAAAGGTTTTCCTTTGCCGTTGGTTCACCCTCCAATGGCTGCCGTGGCCAGTGCACTGCGACTGGCGCACCGTGCTGATCCGATGGCAGGAACCAGGTGCTTCTCCTGGTCTCCCATGGGGTGCAGGGCCCAAGGACTTGGGCCATCCTCCACTGCACTCCCGGGCCACAGCAGCAGAGAGCTGACCTGGAAGAGGGGCAACCAGGACAGAATCCGGCGCCCTGACCGGGACTAGAACCCAGTGAGCCGTGGAGCCGGCCAGAACTTGGTTTCTATCAACTTTCCTGAAAGAAACAAGGATTGCTCTGTGGAAAATGAATGTATGGATGATTCCAGAAGAACAAGGACAAAGAAAGTACAACATGGGCCTAGAGTATCGTGCTGTTTGTATGTGCTTGCCAATATTTCTGAAGGATAAATTGAAAATTTTTTCTCTTTAAAAAGTGTTTATTCTGGCCGGCGCCGCAGCTCACTAGGCTAATCCTCCGCCTTGCGGCGCCGGCACACCGGGTTCTAGTCCCGGTTGGGGCGCCGGATTCTGTCCCGGTTGCCCCTCTTCCAGGCCAGCTCTCTGCTGTGGCCAGGGAGTGCAGTGGAGGATGGCCCAGGTGCTTGGGCCCTGCACCCCATGGGAGACCAGGATAAGCACCTGGCTCCTGGCTCCTGCCATCGGATCAGCGTGGTGCGCCGGCCGCAGCGCGCCGGCCACGGCGGCCATTGGAGGGTGAACCAACGGCAAAGGAAGACCTTTCTCTCTCTCTCTCTCTCTCTCTCTCTCACTGTCCACTCTGCCTGTCAAAAAAAAAAAAAAAAAAAAAAGTGTTTATTCTTATTTGAAAAAAAGATGGAGACAGAGCTGTATCTTCCATCTGCTGACACACTCCCCAAATGCCCACAACAGCCAGACCTACTCCAGGCCAAAGCCAGAAGCTCAGGATTCCTGCATTGGTAGCAAAGATCCAAGTATTTGATCTACCACCCACTGTCTTTGGGGGCATGCATTAGCAGGAAGTTGGAATTGGATATGAAGCCAAAACTCAAAAAATAGCAACATCTTAAGTGCTATACAAACACCCACCCCAGTAATTTTTGTGTTTTCTAGTTCATGCTTTTGGTTTCAAGTCAAAGAACTCTTTGCCCAAACGAGATCCTTAAGATTTCTTCTTATTTGTTCTAAAAGTTGTATAGTTTTGTCTCTTATACTAGTATTTATGTCTATGATCTATTTTGAGTTAATTTTTGTATATGGTATAAGGTTAGGGTCTAAGTCCACTTTTTTTGCAAGTTAATATCCAGTTGTCTCAGCACCATTTGTTGAAAAGACAATTACTTCTCACTTGATCTTAGCCAGAAGGCTGAGAAGCAATGACAGCTACTTCTCTATTGAATTGCCTTCATATCTTTGTGAAAGATCAGGTAACCATGGAGATGTAGGTTTGTGTCATATTCTCATCTCTGTTCCACTAATGTATGTGTCTGCCTTGCATAAGTACCAAGCTACGCTGGTTATGGCAGCTTCCCAGTAAGTTTGGCCATCAGGTAGTAAACATTGACAACACTTTGTTCTTTTTCCAAGCTGTTTCACTGTTGTAAGTACTTTGCATTTCCATATAATTTGCAACATTGATGTGTCCTCTTGTACCATCATAAGGCTTGGTGGTGATCAAGTGCTTGCTACTTGAGCATAGCATCTATGGTTTTTGCATGGTTGGGCTTGGTAAATACTCAGTGCTGTGCTGTGGTGTTTTTTTTTTTTTTAAGTATTATGAATGACTTAGATTAGATACTTGATAAATATGCAAAGCATCGTTCTTATTCCAGTTTTTCAATAGTCTGTCCCTTTTTTATAATTTTAATTATAATGTTATTGAGAATTTATGTCTATTTTATAGTGAATGTGTACTTTGGAAAGTGATAATGCTATATATATTATATATATATTATATATATATATAGAAACCTTTTATTTAATGAATACAAATTTCATAAGTACAACTTTAGGAATATAGTGGTTCTTCCTCCCCTCCCCCGTACCCGCCCTCCCACCCCCATCACAGGTCAGGAGGGAGTAGAGCCATTGATGTTAGAGTAGAGGCTATGATTACAAAGGAATGATGCCCCAGGTGGGCTAGATAGGGTCTAGAACAAAGGACAGAGTCATTATTGAAGGACCTAAGAAAGCTGGTGTCTAAACACAAGTAAGTTTTCCAATTGAGGGACAAATAGAACCTGACAGAAGGGGCCTGATAATAATCAGGTGGGCTTTAAGGACTTGCCAGTTATGAGGCCCA